AGGTATGTGTACTGGTCCACTACTGCAATCTCCTCGATCCCCCACTTCCATCTATGTTCAACTGGTTCCTCCTCGTTCTCGTTGCATACCGTGACGGCACTCTTCTCAACGTTGGCAGACAATCTCCGCTCATTAGTTAACTTCGCCGCGTCACTTTGCAGTTGAAGTCCCTCAGGGGTGTCCGACATTCGGACAAAATCATCCGCAAACATCCTGAAACCGAAGTTTCGTGTCCCCTACTTTTACTCCCTTCCGGACTGCCTCTACGACTTCCAACAGATCGTTGATGACCACCTGGAACAATGTTGGGGACAGCGTGCAACCTTGTGGGACCCCCTGCTCAATGTCGAAGAATTTGACAGTTCTCCGTCTAGCATGACCGCGCTTTTCGTGCCCTGTCATCTTCTTCAGCACTCTCCACATTTTCCCCTTGATCCTGTATTTTTGGACAGTTGTTTCCACAACCCATTTCTCCNGTGTTGAACAGTGTGATCCCCCCTGTAGTTTCCTGGGTCAGTCTTGTGTCCTTTCTTGAACAAGTTCACAACCACTCGTTTCCTCCATCCACTTGGCGTATACTCGTTTTTCCACACCCAATTGCACAGCAGTACCATCAGCTGGATCATCCCTTCCCCCGCAAACTTCATGAACTCGTTGACTATCCCATCCGCTCCTGCTGCTTTGTGGCACTTCAGCTTGTTCACACACGCCTCAACCTCGTCCTCAGTGAACTCCTTTTCTAGTTCTACGTTCCCAACGTCTGCCTTCGATGTCTCTTCTTCTTTTTGGGCCCATGCGTCCACCTCCTTCTTAAACGCTTGGTCAAAAGCTTCATTCTCCGAGGGCACTCCAAGTCTCTTGTAGTGTCCTGCTAGAACTTCCCTTTTTCCCTTCCCACTGCTGACTAATCCACCGTTCACACCTCGCAAAGTTGCTACCCCTGTATCCCCCCCTTGCGCGGTCTTTTTTACCATTCCACTAATCCCTTCCCACATCTGCTTGACGTTTCCCTCCAGGCCTCCGTTGGCCTTCTGCACTACTTCGTCCCAAATACACTTTTTCTTCTCTTTCACTAGTCCCTTCACCTGTTTTCTTTCGACCCTGTGCTTTTTCCTACTTTCCTCAGACGCCTCACTCAGGTACTGCTTGAAGACTTCTCTACGTTCCCCTATTTCTTCTTTCAGCTCGTCATCCCACCACTTAACCGATACCCCACATCGTACCACCTTCGTTCCCACTACTCTCTCTGCCGTTGCGTTCACGATGGACTCCCACCCTTCAATCACCCTGTCCCCTGCTGCTTGTACGTCTACCTGTCCGTCTTCGACGCTTCTCAGCAGTTTCCTGAAGGATTCTACACTACCAGCCAGCCCCTTCTGGAATTCATCCCGTGTCCCCTCGTCTCCCAAGCTCTCTACTTTCCACCGGAACACTTTCCTCTGTTTCTTACTATCTACCTTTCCTGATCGGTCGATGTTTGCCCATATGAGGAAGTGGTCGGTCGAACCTATATCTATC